TAATTTTTATATAAAATTATCCTAAATTATATAAAAAAAATCATTATACTCGGGTTATACTTATTCACAAGATATATTAAAAAATATATTAATTTTTATATAAAATTATCTTAAAATTCTTATGAATTAGAAACATATCCTAGTAGTTTTAGAAAAGTTTGGATTGATTTAGTGAAAATTAATTTGAGTTATACTTGTTCACATATTCAATAAAAATAATTTCTTAAATTAGTGATGGTACCGTCTAGATTTGTAGTGTGACTACTTAGGGCTAATACTCTATTTAAAAATTTTAATTATCATAAATTGATAAAAAAAATAATATAAAAAAGTGATACTAAATATCTTATAATAATGCTAGTAGTTCTAAAAAGAATTTAGATTGGTTTGTTAGGAATTAACTTGAGTTACACTCGATCATAGATTCAATGCAAAAAAATCCTATTTAAAAATTTTTAATCATGCTAAGTTTATAAAAAATTAAGAAAAATAATATTATATACCTTAAAATAATGTACTAATAGTTCTAGAGAAGTTTAGATTGATTTTATAAAAAATAACTCAAATTATACTTGGTTATACTCGATCATAAATTCAATATAAAATATCTTATTTCAAAAATTAATCATCCTAAATTCATAAAAAAATAGAAAAAATAATATTAAACATATTAGCATCTCACCCAGTAGTTTTGGGGAAGTTTGGATAGATCTGATGAAAATTTAACGAGTTATGTTCGATCATAGATTCTACCTAAAAAATATCATATTTTAAAAATTAGTCATCATATATTCATAAAAACAAAATGATACTAAAGATATTATCATCTCACACTACTAGTTCTAGAGAAATTTGGATAGGTTTAGTGAAAATTCAATGAGTTACACTCGATCACAAATTTAACCCAAAAATACTCTATTTAAAATTTTATCACCCTAAAACCATAAGAAATTAGAAAAAAAATGATACTAAATATCTTTGAATCATGTGTCAATAGTTCTAGAAAAATTTGGATTAGCTTAAAGAAAATACCTTGGTTACGCTCGAGTTATACTCGGGTTACATTCATAAAATTGAGAAAAGTAATATTAGTAAACATCATGACCACATAAAATTTACACAAGACATTCAATTTTCACAAAATATTAATCATGTTACTAATATTAATCTCATTGTAAAATAATAGTATTAAGAACATATTACCAAATACAATATTCCAATGTTCAAATATTTCAACACAAAGTAAGACATTTTATCATATGATACTCAAATCTCTCCGTGACTAGATACAGAATAACAATCATCCAAATTAACATTTGTAATCTACCAATCTAAACAATGATACTAGGGATATCAACTAGACAAGGTGAGAAAGGCAATGCTTCCCTCATCTCCATCCTCATCTCATCCACTATCCCCTATCCTAGCCCTATTCCCTATCTAGATAGTATGAGGGCAAGGATGGGGAATCCCCATAAGGTGTGAGGAACTCATAAGTTCTATATATCTTCCCAATTAATTAATTTATTTTATTTTTAAATAAAACTACTATCAAACCTAATTAATAATACTAATATATATATATATATATATAATTATCATAATTCATGAGAGAAATAAGGGAAAGATGGGGGAGGATCAAGGAAAGGAATGGGGAAGGAGGTGAGAGCTATAACGATCTGACTAAGTAGGGCTATGGGATGGACGAGGGCGATTGTGTTGAGGAGGAGAGAGAGAGAGAGAGAGAGATAGATTGAGGGGTTAGATGAAGGGAAAAGAGGAAGGAGGGAGAAGAGAGTGTCTGGTGGAAAGAGGAGGTGAAATAAATAAGAATAGCAAAGAATCATCATTGTTGTTTACTATTCATCGTTTGCCGTCGTCATTTGCAAATGGTGAGAGGAGAACCAATAAAAACAAAGTCAAACAATCACTACGATGTCACATGCGATTAAAAATTGAGTGCATGCAACGCATGAGGTCACGAGGAGAAGTTGTTATTGTTGAATGAATAGATGTTTTATTGGACTCAATTGAATTAAATTGTTCTTAATTGAATCATAATCATTTCAATCAAGATTCTCCTAATTTAATTTAAATAATGAAAACTTGACCATCTAGTGTTTAGGTCCAATATCTTACCTTACATATAAATAGATCCGGTATAAGTAAAAGGTGAGAGTGTTCTATTCATCCCCGCCTCTTATTTGCACGGATAATATAAAATATCTACTAACCTTATCTATTTCTCCATCCCCACCTCTTTAGGTGTGAGTTTGTATTACTATAATTGACATCCCTAAATGATATATCCCTTTGGATAAATTTAATTTCTTTGTCCATCAATAATCATTATAATTTATCGATATCAATTAATCAAACACTTAAGAACCGTCTAGACAAATGATATCAAAACTATTATAGGAAAATTTGAAGGCAGATCTTGAACTATTTGTTAAGAGGGAAGTAACAACAATTTTTGTCGCTCAATTCATTTTCGCTATCTTTTCTTTTCTTTTCTTTTTTTTTATTCCGATTCAAGTTTTTTGATCTTGACAAATATAGATCTGATCAGGTTTAGTAGTCTGCACCGTTTTCTATTTTCATTTAAGGCGGCTATCTGACGAGGGAGACTTAATTATCTTGTTTGACCCGCCGTGGTTTTCGATTCTTAATGGGAGGATGAGCAAAACAGGGATTAGTCCTGTCCACAGATTAGGTGGTCGTACTCTCCGCATCCGGTGGGTGGCCAGCACTGCAGACTTCGATGAGCTGCTGCTGGCGTTCGCGTCTCCCGAGGAGGTGGCCGGTCGACGCCTCACATGGCCCCATCCGCTGCAGCCGCTGCTGGCACTTGCAGCCGCGAGGGGGATAGGAGAGAAGAGAAAAGCCCTCCCGAGGGTCCGCCCATTGGGTAGAAGAAGGCTTGCTTTCCTCCGACGGCAGTGCGGCTTCGCCCTGCAAAAGCTTGGATTCAATGTCAGCGAAAAAAGTGGGAAAGGGACGTTGTGAATGGCCATCGCTGAGAAGGTGACAGAGATCGCGACGTCGTTTCGCGATGGTTGGAGCGACGTAACATCAACACTCGGCTACTTGGGACTCATAAATCAGGCTCGCTGACGTCCTATCAATTCATTCAGTGTGACACATACCGTCCAACCGACCCCCCTGAGAGCCGCCGCTCATCGCTGAATCATGCGTTCATACATACCGCCCACAGATTAATATTGTGCACCGACGACGCAACGAAACAAGACACAACTTGTGGAACAACTATTGGTGGCTAAATAAAATTTAAATACTCTCAATTTAATTAAAAAATAGGACTTTTTTGTTTGTCTGTTTTGCTATTATTCTTAGATGATAATGAATAAAAATAACAATTAGGTAGAGACTGAAAAGAGAATTAGATATTATTTTAAAAAGAAGATCAAAATTTAAGGGGAAAAAAAAATTAAAATAACAAAACCATGCAATAAAAAGAAAATACAAGGAAATCGTTCTTTTTCTTAATTTTGATTTCCCTTCTCCTCCATTTCCCTCCTCCTCCTCCTATATAGACGGCATCGCTGTCGAAAGGATACGGCGCGGATGAACGACTCGGGCTCGGTCCGTCGTATATATCAATCTCATAGTTGGTCTGGTTCAGAGCAAATCCATTCGAACGAAAGAGAAGAGACGCCTTCCCCAACGGCCCCCCATCGCCTTCTCCGCCTCCAGAATGCGGAGGAAGCGATCCCAATCGGTACGTCGTTGCCACAAATCTTTCTTTTCTCGTCTCTCTTGTTTCGTGGTGGATGGATCGAGCACAGATGACTTGTCGATCCACAACCCTACTGACGAACGTTTGCCATTCCCGTCGTGTCTTTCGCAATGTGTGCTTCTTTTCCCCCCTTTTTCTTCTTTGATTTCAGATCGTTCTCGTACGACGAGACGAAGGGTTCGTTCCCGATTTCTTTCTTTGCTTCTGGTGATCTTCTCTCCAATTAGATTCTTAAATCTTTTTTTGATGTGAAGGATTCATCGACTGCGTTCTCGAAGTGGAATGCGTTTGGATGAGCCAGTTCTTCATAATTTGTTTGTCTTGTGGGTAGAATTTAACAAGCTAAAGATATAGAAAAATGAATGCATTAATCAGGTCAAACATCAATTCGATTTTGATTAGGGGCATGATGCTAAAAATATGACCCACTCTTATTTGGATAACAGTAGGTTATTCGTGAATGGTTCATCCAATTCTTAGTTAATAAAAATATTATTATTATTATATAAAGTAGCATAAATATGAAAAAAAACAACTGCTAAGAGCTTGGCTTTAATAATTTACAAGATGGTAACTTAGGTCGATTCCTCTTCTAATTTATGATGAAAACAAAAGTCAATAATTATCACAAATCTGTCAAAAACGAATTTTTAATCATTTTTAAGAACTGTTCAAGTGGTTAGCACTAATAATTTATAGAAAAAAACTGATCCATTGGATCTGATTCAACTCGTTCTTATAATATATTAGATTTAATGTTCACATTGGACTGCCTGATGGGTTGGATTTCCTTGGGATTGGACGGTCAAATCTGGTTCTTATAAATAAGTATGCTATTTACGATGACTTCTCGAATGATTTACGATTGTGTCAGTGGTTGAAACCTAAGGCTTGTTATTGTTGTTGGGTAGGTGGAGGAGGAGTCTCCGTTTAGGTAGGCTATTCTGTGAACTGCATAATCAAGTGACTGATGCTTTATTTTAGGAACAAAGACAAAAAGGATATACAGTTGTGTTTGTATTTGTAGCCCAACCTGTAGAGTTACTCACTAGTTTATATGAAAACAAATAGAAATGACACGTTAGAATTCATAAATAGTTTTCAAGCTCCATAGTAGCTCAATCAAAATCTTTTTATGGTTATTGTCTTTTCTGATAACTTAAGTTTCTGAAATTTATGATAAACTAATCGAAATCTATGATTGGGAATATTTTTATTTATAAGATGATTGGGAATATTTTTATTTATAAGATGATTTTTACTGAAATATGTATCTTTTTAATTCATTGACGTTGTTTTCCAAGCTTCACTGAGTTACTGAGTTGAACTGCTGGGTTATACCTGTATCCGTAACATATACCATGGCAAATGATTCAAAGTTGCTTGGTAATTTTGGAAGTAGATATTAGATTAATATTGTATTAAGAAAAAGGCTCAAGTAGGTTTCTGTAAATGCAGTTATGTGGCTTTTCTTCACAGTTACTTGGTAATTTTTAGAAGTAGATATTAGATAAATAATTTCTTAACAAAAGGTTAGGTTCTCTTAATTGAAGTTTTGTGCCTTTTGTTGAATTAAATGTCTGACCAAAGAGTCATGAAAAGTCAGAACCAGATCTGAGTAAAGGACTTGTAACAGTGTTTTGAAGTCTCTCTCTTGTCTTTTTCTTGTGCCTCCAGAATCCATAGGTAAAAACTGACGTATACTCACTCCCTGTTTTGCTCCAGAATAACTATCTTGAAGGGTTTGTTCTTTTTCTTACAGTCATTTATTATTGACTTTGCCTTCTGAACTTGTATGTATTCTTAAGCTTTTCTTTCTCTCTTATCCCTACCTTTAGGTATATTTAAAATCTCCCAATAAAATAGTCATGCTAACCAAGTAACAGCGGACAAAGGATGAAAATATGACATTTAGAACCAAAAGAAGAAGAAGAAGAAGAAGAAGAAGAAGAAGAAGAAGAAGAAGAGTTCATTAGATCTTTTAGGTGTAATGCGTTAGGACCTTCCAGCTAAAATCAATAAAGCTCCATTCATATTGAATTGCCGAGACTGAAGACTTGGGAAGATAAAGTCTGTACAAATGACGTATCGAAGACTGTGGTGTGGGGGGCTGTGATAAATGACTTTGCGATTGTGTGCTTTCTGGTCAATTGATGCGTCCTTTTTTTGTCCGTTTGATAGCGACACTTTCTCATCTCGCTGCAGCATTTCCTTTTTTTTTCCTCTGCAACGTCTTGATAAGCACAATAATTATCTCAACAACTCACTCTCTAGGATAATGACTTGTGATCGTCTGCTTTGTTATCCATATACTTTCTTATGAGGCTTGTGATAAGGTGGGTATGGCTCTTCATATTATTGATCTTGATTGGTTATTGGTGAGTTTACATAGTAACATGACATCGAGACCTGATATCATGAGATATGTGTGTGTGAGACAAGTAGCAGTGTTCATCTTCTAATAGAAATATGAGTCCATCGATGTATATATATATATATATGAAAAATATATAAAAATGAAAGAGGATAGATAGGCAATTGGGTTGCCATTTGGTCCATCATATCATTTGTGTGTTTGACCTCCTACCTTCCTGCTTTGTCTTCACTAAGTGAACGGTAGGTGCGGCAGCTGATGCTCATGCTTAACAACCGGCTCCTACTCCATCATGGAGGACGACATCCAATGGCTTCCCTTTCAGAAGGTTGTACCTAAAGATCATGATGCACACATGTCATGATTAAATAAAAAACAACAAATATTTTTTATATATACGGATATGTCTAGCCATCCTTATCTATTCATAAATCTAGATAATAAAACAACTGATTCTTTCTTGGGTGTTTTACTTTCAGCCCTGCGTTCTTCCCATGCTTAGATAAGGAAGCAGGAGTTCCTCTAGTTTTCTGTGCACCAGACGAAAAAGCCTTCGGCCGTGGTCTTGCCCAGAGGAGAGCTTGTTTTGTTTGGGCTACTTGTTCGATCTTGTGTCCACCGGGCTGAAGCGACATGGACGCCCACCGGGTAGCCGAAGCGCCACTCCCGACGGCGGAACGCCGTTGCAGTGACGAGCCTCGGAACAAGTGCGAGACGGACGCGGGCGCGCAGGCCTCCGCCAGCGCGTGCTTCGACTGCAACATATGCCTGGACTTCGCGGTGGAGCCGGTCGTCACTCTCTGCGGCCACCTCTACTGCTGGCCATGCATCTACAGGTGGCTGCAGCAGGCGGACGGCGCCGCCCCGCAGCAGTGCCCCGTCTGCAAGGCCGCCCTCCACCACGACGCCCTGGTGCCGCTCTACGGCGGCGGCCGCCACGGCGCCAAGAAGCCCCGCCCTGACCTCGAATTACCGCGCCGCCCGCCGCCGGCCCACCCCCCGTCGCCCGGAGCGAACGAGGAACAACGGTACCCGGAGACCCGACCGCATTCTCGCCGTCACCACCAGCACCCTAATCACGGGTGGGAGTACACGTCGGGAGCGACGAGGGTGATCCACTCTACGGCGGGCGGGCTGCTGGGGGGGTTGGTGATGGCGGTGCTCCCGTGGGTGTTCCGGAATCAAGAGTGGCCAGGCATTTACTACTCGAGTCCTTACCACATGGGCGGCGACGTCGGCAGCGGCAGGCTCAGAAGGCAGGAGATGGAGCTGAAACGGTCACTCCATCAGATTTGGCTCTTCCTTGTGTGCTGTGCCGTTGTGTGCCTGCTCTTATTCTGACAACTCTTGTGCACGTCAAATTTTGGTGAGGGACTTGGCGGAAAATATTTACAATGTGAGTGCAAGAAGCTAAATTTGAATTAATCTAATGGATAAAAATAGAAGATGATGCTTATATTTATGTTAGAGGACTTAATCATATTTAGATAGATTTTTATTATTAAAAGGATCACGCAAGATGATGAATGAATCAAATCATTCTATTATTTATAGTCAAATCAATTATATATGTTTCCAAGAAGTCAATGGACTACTTACTAAAAAGGTGATTGCAGAAATAAAAGAACGCATAACAACGAAGACTCTACCTATAATTAATTAATTTGTAATAATCTAAAATTAGATTATGCCGCTGCATCATTCTCCTTAGAATTTATAGTCAGCTCCTTCCAAAGTGTCTCGTCAATCTTCGCTTCTTTCATGACAAATATTTGTTTTGTAGAGACTTTTAATAAGCAAAGCTGATGTTCTTTAAAAAGATAAATCATTCACTCACGATGCAATACTATTTTTTTTACTTATCACTTTTCTAAAACTTTAAAGAAGAAAAGGTTTACTGTGTACTTTTTTTAGTTAGAGATCAAATCCAATAATCTCATAATAAAAAGTGATCGATAAGTTGTACTTCCTGAAGGCATTTACTTTTTTAGTAAGAAACCCATGCTGCATGTTAAAGCTTGATGTCTGAATAAAGAATAAACTCTATTCCAATAAGATAACGTTTCTATTGCCGCAAAACTATCGCATATAATTAATTCTTTGTCATATGTTAAATATTTCACCTTTACATCACTTTGTTTCTCCTCTCAATTCTTGTATTAGAACAGTCAGTCCTATTTCGATTCTAGTAGCATCACACTTGATTCTATAAGATGTGCGCTTAGTCGTTTCGGTTGCATGCTGTCGAGATGCTCTATGGGCCGATTTGGCCTCGTACGTGCCATTGCCATGCAATGCAATGGAGATGTCGTGCTTTGGAGAAAATAATGGTCGAAGTGTGCAATGTCGTCCTCCATGAGCTCCTTGTTCATGAACAGAAGCCCGTAGTCATAAGCGAGAGATGGCTCGAGGTAGGATTCAGATGGCCCAGAGAACCAGATTGAAGTAGTGCCAGTGGTGACGCTGCATTCTCTTACTATTGTAGCCTATGATAAGAGTGCACAGTACTTCATTTTGCTGCTGCATGGATTTAGATTCACCGGCCAAGTCTTATCCCGACATGGGTGAAATATAGCTTTCGGCAAATGAGGTGTTTAGTGGTGTCGTTTGATCGCGCCGAGTTGCATCTCGCCAAGACACGGAACGCAGCAGGGTTACATCTTGCCGGGGCGCGGTGTGCTGCGATCACTCGCAGCTGTTGTTTGTCGATCCCCTCTCGGTTCACATCACAAGCTGCCTCCGATGCACGCACGCTGTAGTCTGCCGAGAGCATGCCCAAGTGCTGATGCATGGCATGCCAATAATTAATGTAATCTGTATGTGTTGTTGTTGTTGTTGTTTGGGCACACCGACGCCACTTTGTATCACCCAAGGGAGGTACACTGCAACTGCAAAGCTCTACGCCGCCAGTGTGGAGCACGAGATGTTGCAACCGTAATTACGGTTAGACCACGCCCAGCCACTGTTGGAGTATGATGTGTAATTGGAGTGCGAATTTGGCCTACTGTTTTTCGTCGAGGACCCATGGAAATGTGTGCAATATAAGAATCGTTTCATAAAATTATATTTCAAAATTCACTGAATATTTATAATATTCATATTCTATTTGGTTCTCAATAAACATTTCAAATGTTTTGTCAAATGCACTTGTAGTGGCCTCATTAATCTATTATTGTGCCTAATCGAAAGATATGATGAGTCGCAATCTTGACTTGTTTAGCTACTGTCGTAGCATTGTTGAATCCCTTGCAAGTGTTAGGAAGGAGAACATGGAGACACTATTGATATGATATATTTTGGCAGCATGTTACAGTCGACAAAATACGTCAAGTCAAAGCCCTGCACCACACATCCCGTCCCGAGGGCTTGGGACGGTGTCGTCTGATGCATCATCAGCCTACGCATCATAGTATAAAACCCTTGGCTGGCCTCCGATCGAGGGGAGAAAAAAAAGATAGAAGGAAAAGAGCAATCCCTCTTGTTACTAACTTGCTCGTCGGAGGGGTCACGGTCGGGTACCACCCGGTGAAGATCATTTTGCAGGAGGGCTACCACTCATCGATGGTGAGGGACTCGACACGGGAGCGTGACTCGCTCGACACCAAGGAGTCGCCAATCAACCCCGATCCCAACCAACGTCGACTAGCACTCCTTCCCGAGAGCTCGGACACCTCATCATCCGAATCACCCCACAGAAAGCTCCCGACATCGGCCCGTGGACCGAGCTATGCTGACTCCCCAACCACGACATATTTGTTCACCAACAACTACCATTGTCAAATAGCGCAACCATCGGAGTTCAGCTTATGGAATTTGTTATAGAGGTACTGTTGTATGTCGTGTGAGCCTCCTCCTTGATTGCCGAGTTGCTATTGATTATAGAGCTATTGTTGCATGTGGTGCAGCATTGTCGGACCCATTCAACTTCGTCGAGTTCTGCTTGCCAAATAATGTATTATGGTTCATTCTATTAAATTGAAATTTAATTGTCTGATTTAGATGTTAATTCGAAGCTAATTAAGGTTCTTCTTTTACGTCTATCATGGTTCAATTTTGATCAACACCACACTCATCTAACAATAGAGATGTTGAACTCTATATAACTATATTCATGACAAATGTCCTTCCAATGGTCATTGAAAGGGGATAAACGAGTTTGAAGGTCATTGAAAGTCGAATCTACAAACTTTTCACTTCTTTTATAATCTCTTTGGCTTCTTGGGTCATCTCTCTTAGCCACCAATACATAAGCAACATTCCCTTTCCGGTAAGTTGGCTCAAACTCTTTGTAAGTTATTAAACTAAATAATCTTTTAGATTTTACAGTGGTAGGAGCTTTTTTGAATGGATACAAATGAAACTTTACTCTGACTAGAGAATAAGTGTTTAGTGAGCATTTTGATCAAATTGTCATCTACTAAAAAAATAAATGAGATGCATTTATAAGAAGTACATCAAAACAAAGCTTATCTTTCTCCCTTCCAATACAAAATTTGATCTTGTATTTTTAGACACCAAAATCTCTTCACCATTCTTGAACCATGAAAATTTATATAGCTTTGGATGATGTACAGTTACAAGTTTTAGTTTATCCACTCTAAGTTTTGAAACCATATTATCTATACTATCTAAATTAATCATTAGAAGATATTTTTTTTCTATGAAACAAGTAATATATGTCTTGAAAATATTATTCTGAGTCGTCGATCATCTTCTTGGACTGTCGTCATATTGCATTGGATAATAAGATTTTTCACCCTCAAAATTTGACTCATAGCTTTCTTCTTCGATAGCACCTTCATGTTCTTTATCATAGATGAACTCATTATTCTCTTCCATAATATTACTCTCTGTGACACTCGTAAGAACAACGGTCGAGTTTATTATATCTCAAATATTTGGATTGTTTTTTATTTCCTCCCCAAACATGTGGGTTTGGATGCTCATATATTCTACCCTTCTTTCCTTGGAATATCATTTTCTTTGTTGTAGTTTAGTACTTTGGACCTTGTTGAATGGTCTCCATTTGCTTTTATCTTCAGCTTCCTTAAGAGACCCAATTGAATGCATCAAAAGTTCATCTCGTTAGTTGAGTATATAACCAACCACAAGTTGATTGCCATTTTCATTCAAGATAATTTGGCTCATTAGCTTATAGAATTGCTCAGTATAATCAATAACAGATTAAACATTCTTCTAGTGTAATTGGTGGAATTGTCGATAAAGAGTTTGAGGATGGATAATCCAAGGAGAGAAACTTCTCATCCAACTTCAGTTTTATTTCATTCCATCTGTTCCAAAGATACAATTCAATCACAATATTCCTCGAGATTAAGTGACCCTACAAATTCTGCTAAATTAATTTGAATACTCCTATTCGTTCCTTCAGGAGCTCTCATCATTTGATCTATGATCCAATGAGCAAAACTGGAAGAATCAATTGCATCACTACCATGCTCACTTCTTGCACCTATCGAATTACTTCGTTGACTTTGAGCAAGACTAGTTGGAATTCTTTAGAGGAGTTCAGTCATCATTCGTTGTAAAGTTTCGTGGGATGATGCAATGGCTTACTCAGCCATTCTTGTTTGTAAATTAACTTCTTTAACATGTCTCCTTTTCGATGAGCGATTGATAAAAAATTGAGGATTTAAAAGAAAACCATGACGACTCGATAGATGCCTATTAGAATATTTGATAATAATCAGTAGACAAATAGAGCTTTCCAATGAAATATGGCACGCCTTTAAACTCCTTGTCAATAAGAACAATTTAATCCGTAAAGCTAGCAAAGGACTCACTTCAAAACAACAGAAGGTAATATAGCTTTGTTACCAAATTGATGTCGACTAGCGCATGTGATTTAGACTTTGAATCCAAAGAAAGATTTTTATTAAGAAGGATATGTCCTAAGTGTTAGAATCTCGTATTTTGATAATGAAATCAATTGATAATTATGTTTATATTTTGATATGTGTTTTGAATAATACAGGATGCTTCGATCAGGATGAGACAATTAAAACAGAAAAAATCATGTTGGACCGAAGAAACATGTCAGAAAATTGAACGTCGGATCGGTGGATCGATCGACGTATCGACAGAAGGCTTCAGGTCGTGGACTCGGGCATCGAGTCAAAAAGAGTAGTTATTACGTTAAGAACATCGGAGTTGCGAAGTTAACTAACCGATTGAGGGGGGCAATGGTTGTCACTCAATGTAATAACATTGAGAATGATATATATTTTTTCTAGAGAAGAAAAAAATACCAACTTTCCTTTTATTTGATAGGAAGTATAGTTCTGAATGGAGACGATTGAGCTTCTACAATAATAACAAACAACATATTTAACCAAAATACATGTTCACAAGTAGTCAACACACTACTCACTAAAAGACTTTTAATGAAAGGAATAAAAATGACTATAGAAATTAGAAAAAAGGGTAACAATAATGACTCTAAAATATGATTAATTAGCAGTAATGTAAAATT